GAGTGACCGGAGAGAGCAGGCTCTGCCCGAGGAAGGGCGGAGGGGGAGCGATGGCACGCACGGCTTTGACGTTGCCGCGCACTGTCTCCCAGAGAGCTCAGGGTGCGGCGCAGCGCAGCGCAAGCCAGCTCGGGCACTCAGAACTGCTGGCACTCAGCTCTCCTGCTCCCGCCGTGGGGGACCCCTTCCTGAGCTCTGGCTCTGGAGGCACCCCCCTTCCTGACAGGGAGCTGGGCCCACGTGGACATAGCTGCGGGATCCCCGCCCAGCCTGGGCTCCAGGCGGGGTGCAGCCCTGCAGGCGTCCCCAACGGCTCCTGAGCATAACACTTCAGACCAAGCTGGACCGCTGCTCACGCCCCTGGTGACAGGGCGGAGCGCGGCTGGGACGCTGGCTCTGACGGCTCACGAGACCAGAAGGGCCCTTTCTCATTGCGGCTTAGAAAGCAGCAGCCATCCAGTCAGTTCCTGGTGTGTTCAATGTCTCCAAAACACTGCTTTAAACACTAACTTCAGACACGTGTTGAGAGCCCGGCTTTGCAGTTTTCACAGTTGGTGCGCTTTAACCGCTGCCTGACGACTAGGCTGATTCTGGTTTCTGGTGTCGCAGAGGCCGTTGCCTGTAAAGATGTTCCCGAGCCGAATAATGGGGGTGAGAAGTTCCTTAAAGCTTACATGGGAAAATCAGGTGTGGGTGATGCTGTTGGTACAGATCAGCTCATGCAGAAGCCCCCTAACACTGCTCTGAACTGCGTCTGCCTCAGAACTCACTGTCACGTAATAACAGCGCCGTGGGCCAGACGGGAGTAGCTCTTGAGCTCTCGCAGCGTGGAGGGACCCAGGAAACTGGCGACCCGCATCCGCTTGCCAGGCGGCCTCGCCCGCTAGGACATTGGAGAACTTTCCTACCACTGAAAACCGATTTCTGCAGACCCCTGGGTGAGAAGGGGTCCTCAGTCGGACCTGAGCTCCCGATCACAGCCAGGACTGCTCCATGGAAGAACCGCGCCCTGGCCTCAGCTGCGCCCTGCGCCCCTGCCCACGCCATCCAGTTGGGGGCTTACATCCAAGACCACGTCCACCCTCGGACCAGCTCCCTGTCCCTGCTTCTCATACCCCCTAGTGGCCTCTGCCTCCAGGCAGCCTTCCTGAGCTGCTGAGGGTAGTGGGCTCTAGGAGAAGGCAGGGACAAGGGGCCAGGCCCTCGAGGGCCAGCTGTCCTTTGGCGTCTCTGAGAGTGACTGCATGTCCCAGACCGCAGTCCCTGGAGTGACCCCACCAGCAGCAGGTGCCCTGCCTGCCCCCACTAACTCGCCCTCTCGTGGAGGTGCTGTCCCTGCTGGAGACCAGGGTCCTGGCATCCCCACACAGGAGCCAGAGACCTTGGGGCCACGGGAGGAGTGGGGAGGCCTTAAGCAGGGCAGTGTGGTCGGGAGGCAAGGCTGACTGCATAGACTCCACAACTATCCCCACTTCCATCTGCACCCCACATGCAGGTTGTGCACTGGCGGGGAAGCCTGGGCTCTCCTTGGTCACCCGCAGACACGTGTGAGCCTTGTTGCGGGCCCCCCTGCACGTGCGCTGAGCGTCTCTGAGTCCCTGGTGTGCTAGGCTTTCTGTGACTGAAACCAGCAGCACCCGGGCGCCAGAAATGTGTCCCCACGCAGTCCTGGAGGCCAGAGGCCGGAGCCCACCTGCCTCCAGAGGCTCCCGGGAGGCTGGGCTTCCTCCAGCCCCTGGTGCTGCCGTGGTCTGTGGCCAGGGTCTCGTCCTCCCACCTTGCCGGCCCCTCATGGTTCTCCCATGGGAGAACTCCACCTCTCCCATGAGGGCTGCACGTGGGGTCCCAGCGCACCCCACCCCCAGAGCCTTGCCTTGGCCACACGCTTTGCCACGTGAGGTACTACTTGGGCTCTGGCATTCGCACGTGAACGGCTCGATTTGGGAAGCCATCTTTCAACCCACCTGCATGTGGTTCCGGGTTTTTATTGCCCGGGGGCACCTGCGCTCCCTGGAGAGGGCCCGGAAGAGGAGAGGGAGGTGAGAACACGCCCGGCCACCCTGATTCCTCACTCTTCCTTTCTCCTGCTGGGACTCGGGGCACACGCACGTGCCCAGCACGTGTTTCAACTGTCTGGGACCCGGCTGCCTTAGCCAGTAGGCCACCCTGCAACCCACTGCAGGGTGGTGGCTCGCCATTGCACACCCACCCGGTTTTTGTCTCGTTTTCCCTTAGCCCATCAGATCTCAGGCACTTACTCCTGCCCGCTCTCCAGCTCCTTGGGGCCTGGGGGGGTGTCGGATGTGTTTCCGACTGACCCCGAGTCCGAGCCCACGGCCAGCCCCATGGCCTCTGGCACAGCGCATATGTGCTGCCACCTCGCACCATGGCTGGCCCGTGTCGCCTCAGCACGGCTGGAGCACCTGTCTTCAACAGGGACAGGGACGGGCTGGCACAGGCCCTGGGGCACAGGGAGACCCTGTCCCTATCCAGTACTTCTCGGTGGTGGTGGGGGGGTGGCATACAGGGTAGGACATCCACGGGATGGGCACAGGCAGAAGCCACACACTCCTACTGGACCCGCTTGGCCAGAGGCCCAGGCAGCTCAGGGCGCCCGGGGCAGCATGCATGCCCACCTCCACGCAGACCCTGCAGGGCCTCAGCCTCAGGGCTAGACAGCGGCAGGCCCATAGGCAGGGAGGCTCAGCCTCAAACAGCCCTGTGGAGAGCCCCGCCTCAGGAAGGGCTTCCTGCCCAGCCAGGGCTAGGCCCCTCTGTGCCAAGGGTCTAGGCTGAGCCTCCCGGCGGCCGAGCCCTCACTCATCCTGCAGGCAGCTGGGCTGGGACAGGCTCCAGAGCTCCAGGCTCTGCCACACTCGGGCGGGAGGTCAGCACAGGCTGGAGGGCAAGCTGGCTCCGAACTGCCCCCCCCCCCCCCCCCCCGGCGGGGGCCACCAGGGGGCGGGGGGC